TGAGTGAGGATGCCTCATTCGAGAAGATGGCTCACTGAGGATGATCTGGCTCGACACGAAGGCGAAGACGCAACGTCGAGACGAACAACAAGCATGGACCATCAACTTGGATCACCGGCTCTGAGGAAGACGAAGACGTCGAAACGTTAGCCGAAAATAAATATATTTATCAACCTCGTGCAAGCTTATTAAGAAAGAATACATATTGATTAGTCACACCGAGGTTTAGGGAAGGTCGGTTTCGAAATGTTGCTGAGATATTTGCAAAACTCTGGACCGCAGGACCGCGATTTGTGCTCCCCAGATCAACCCTGCTGATGGGTGATTGCTGTGGCAAAAAGATCGATAGAAATAGCTGAGAGACAGGCGAAACAAAGGACCCGCATGGTGTGGTGGTGAACGCGTTACTCTCCGGAAAGGATAATAGCGCGTTCGTTCCCCACCATAGACACCTGCGGTCCAGAGTTTTGCAAATATCTCAGCAACGTTGTACTTGTAACAATCTTATGGAAGCTTATAAATAGATATAGAATCTACATTTCTATTTCTTTTCATTAGGTTTGTAGGACATTGCTCTTAAATGTTACTGAACGTCGAGCTAATTTCGACCTACCTGTGAGAAAGAGGGCCTAATACATTTTGAGGGATTGCGCCAGACTTGCTTTAGTATTGGTATTAGTGCTTTAGTATTTGCTTAATAACAATTGTAACAACAATTTCACGCGGCAGCCAGAAGGCCAAAATGAGGTACAACGCCAAAATATGACTTGCTAGGATTTTTAAGTGATTTTTCGTAACTCTGAAAGAGATCGAAGAAATTCCCAACGGTCCCTATGTCTAAGAGTTCACATTGAAACCCTCACAATTATCTCCGATATCATTCCAACCGTATAACGGGAAGGAAATCCCGACACTTAAATAGAAACCGCAGATTTCAAATCGTTTTACAGGTGGTTAGAGTTGGCAGCCTGTAGATATACAGCCTTCCCCTTGTACACTACACCATGCATGCTCTCACTCACCGACGCTTCATGCGAACTGCACTAATAAGGGCTGCCTACTACCCTTAACTTCTAACCACAAAGCAAGGGAAATAACCTTGTCTCAATATTTCCTATTTACTGCCTAGTTCGACTTCGAACTCGCGATCTCCAGGGTTACGCGCCTTACACCACGCCAACCGAGTTCTTTGCTTTGTCTCTTTCCGGTACTTTTTTACTCTAACGGTGCCTTCAACAATCACGCTTGAGCGGAAGTGGTCCAAGGGGCACAAATTGGCATTGAACCCAGTTTGAGCTGCAGTTGAAATCACAGTCTTAACTGCTATTTACTGCTCACTAATTTTCCATGGCAGGCTGTGGCGTGAGGAAGAGCCTCGGTTGCTGTGGTGAATAGCACGTGACTCCCGAAAAGGTGATCGCGGGTTCAAAGCCAAATTAATGATATGATATATTAATCTAAACAGTTCGATAATGATGACCTTTCCAGCTGTTTCATAGCACGTTTCTTCATAATAGCCACTTCAATCATAATGCCGTTCGCGTGCACAATTCATCCTTTTTCCTTGTTGCTAATATAACACGAAAGAACTTCACAGAAGGGTCCGCTTGAATCTCTATACGAGTTTTTAGCAAACCACGCTTACAACCATAAATCACAGAACTCTAAAACCCACATGCCTCCATTATTTGCGTCAATATTTACCACGATACAAAGATAACAATGATATAAAATAAATACAGATTTGTAACACAACGACGTACCACCAACACGTATAATAAAGGAGTAATATGAAGAATTTCTAGTGGACGTCACAAGGTAAATAAGCCATTAGTAGAGAATATGAACATAACAGGAGAGCTATACGGCCACTGCACCAAAAAATACCTTATCGATAACAGAAACCTCGATTTCACGTAAAAAACCAGCCCTGAATATAGAAAGATATGTCGTCTTGGGCACACCAGCCTTCCGGACACGAAAACGTTAGCTGTCAATGAACAAGAGCTTCACCACTGACCACTCGAATTTTTTGTCAACTGGTGACGTAACAGGTTGGACAAACAGGAAACTATATTAACGCTTAGTGCTCAACTGTAAACATTTGTGTAGAAAACCACATGCTATAAACAGATGAGATGAAAAAAGCTACGTATATTTAACTGATTAAAGCATTACACATACATATATGTATATATATATATATATATATATATATATATATATATATATATATATATATATATCAAGAAATGAGTCAGTTCACTGACAGAACGCATCAGTATCACAACCCTCGCTCTCTGGCTCGACACCTGCATACAGTCTAGGACTGGATCTACGTCGATTTACAACAGAAGCAATCTTATGTGCACACATTAATTCTTATGTCTCCTATTTACACCCGTCGTATGCACATCGTAAAATAGGAACGAAAGCAACAGAGTTATTTCTAAGAATCGCTGACAGTGAAAAGAAGGAGGCCAGTGAAAGAAAGGGCAAATAGCGAATAATCCATCTAAAGACGAAAAACTGTTAACAACAAAAAAACAATTCGGCTAACGAATTAGCTATACAGACTGTACACAGGTTAGGCTACTAATATAGCTCTTGTATACTTACCGTATCTAGGAAACAAGACTACAATAGTAGTCAACGCCAGTTATTAGATCAGAAATAAACAAAAACATCATATACCCGCTGTGGAAACACACAGAAAAACGACAACAATGCTAAATCTCTTCTATTCCTGAAACTCATTGTCATACAGATTCTTCAGCTTCGCAACCAGTGTGTAGTGAGTCACCTTCACCCCAGTGAGGTTTCGAACCGTCGGCGCGATTCCATAGACGGTATTCTGTCTAAAATTAAAGTTCAGTAAGAACTACGATGATGGGTGATCACTCAAAAGACAATAACATGCTATAACTCATTAATATTTTTTAGACGACCCCACATCACACACCTAGTAGAACCAACCACTTCTTTCACCAAATTCGTTTCCTCACTTCCACTACTTACGAACACTTCCTATTTGCATATGAGTTCGGCTACTGTTTGAGGATTTTGGTCTTCTTTATGGATAGTCGCTGGATGCTAGTCAAAATTCCTCCTCCTATCTTGGGGCGCGTGTGGCGCAGTGGTCGGAGGCGCCTTGCGACACACACACATGAGATCAAAAATGGCAGCAATAGCTCGATACATCGGTAGGTAAGCCACCGTGAGTTATTGTAAAGGCCAGATGTGTATTCAATCACCTCCAACAATACTTAATAAAGTCGAATGCATGGCGCATGCCCCAGGAATTGATCAACGCCGAGAACTTTTGAGAGCTTTTATCCTAAGACAGACATTTTAGGGCATTTCCAGGTTCTCACCAATGGCAGTCACCTGCATTTATGGACTGAAAAGAGCTTCCAAGGTTACTGTTGCGCCAATTTTCACACTCTGGAGAGATGGAAGGCTTGGTTAGCCTGAGGCAGCGATTGGACACAGGTCTTGAGTGTATTGAATTAAAATAAGAATTTCTTGAGTGAAAAATCCTACAAAGCAAAATTCATAATGCAAAAACATTTAAGAGCTGCAAGCGAATACCTCGTCCACAAGTCCTATATTCGATAAACGCACACCATGTCCCTCAGAAACGTAGTTCTGCTCCGAATCTGATGAATAGTCTACGGCAACATGATTATAGATCCAGGATGCCTGTAATAGCTTTCAAAGACTGTATAAAAAAGATGTACACATATAAAAACAAGTTTTAAAGCAGAAATACAACGCAATTTATCAATATAATTACGATGATGTCCAATCTGCCTTTACACGAGGTGAACATTAAAATCAACACACTTCGTGCATTGTTGTACCGAAAAACAGACATCGAGCATTCCCTTTATTCGCGAAAACCTTTGTGTTACTCATCTTCTTCTTGTTACGCTCTTTTTTCTCTTTTCGCAGAAAAATTATGCCAACTCTTAAGTCGACTTCAAAATGAAAATGCTGCACTGCTTTACAGCCTTAGATACCCTGATGGAGAGTGAACCTCCGCTGTCCATCACAGTTAGACATTTAAGAAGCGCTCCGAGCCAGGAAAAGGTAAACAAACCGTTTGGGGAGAGTGAGATAGGACTATGTAGCACAATCACTAAAGACGGGAACGTTGCCCCACGACTCATGTACATGTGAAGTAAGACAAGGACAATTTTAAATTTTAAAAAATAACTTTTCTCGGAAGATACAAGGTACATTCCTGATGGTGAAGGCATCCAATGAATATAAAAAGTTCGAAATGTATCTCAAACACAAGAAGTCCTGAAACTGATCTGAACTCTATTAAAACAGGATCACTTAGATATAAAATTGTAACAATGATCAGTAAAAAAGAAGCACCTCTCGGAATTGTTCACTAGCAAGTGGAATGAGATGTTCAACAATTTGACGGAATGTCGGTCGATCCTTTGGTACATATCGCCAACACTCCACCATTAAATCATACCTAAAGTCCTGTTATTATAGAAATCGCATTTTTTCAATCATATTTAACAAACCAATACCAACAAGTGTTCGCCACCAATACCAAATGACTACTCACCAGAAATCCGGACAATCCATTGGACGATCCAGTATTTTCCTCGAGATCCCAATGAATGAGAGAACCTCTTCATTTGCTAACCCTTGGTACGGTTGTTGGCCAAGTGTCAGCATTTCATAAAGAACAATACCATACGACCTAAATGGGAAATTTCTTACTTTCTGTTCAGTGAAATAACGTCACAAATTAGCAACAACTTCCTACCAAACATCGCTCTTCATATCGAAAGTCCCGTCACGCAACGATTCTGGCGCCATCCACCGTACCGGCATTAGGCGTTTTCCGTTCGGTTTGTAATATTCATGGTAGTAGATATCACGGGCCATGCCAAAATCACCAATTTTCACGGTGTTGCTGGCACTCACCTAAAAATATCTGCTTCACACCATTACAATCAAAGTAATCCATGCTTTAATACATACCATGCAATTTCTAGCGGCTAAATCTCGATGGCAGAAACGAATCGACTCTAGATATGCCATGCCATCCGCGATTTGGGCAGCCCATTCATAATACTCGAAATTCGTTGGAACTGATAAGTTATCCACATTTTCCTCAGCTCCAGGGCGTCGTGAACGCAAGTAATCCCTTAGATTACCCTGAAAACAAAAAAAAACAAAAACAAAAATAAGAATTTTAAAAGTCATGCATTGCAAACTCGTTTCGCAAAGAAACCTGAAAACTTTGTTCTGAAAGATAAGGAATCGTCTTAACCCAGTTCACGATGAAATGTTTTAGAATATGGAAGGAGATTAATATAAAACGTATACAAAAATCTAACCTTTTCCATCATCTCCATAACTACAAGGACTGGTTGACCATCTGATACTACCCCATAGAGCTTTACTATGAATGCCTCTGGTGAGAAGGATTTCATGACATTTGCTTCTGAAAAATGACCGCTCTAACTCTTGTTTAATGATGTTTTCTTTTTCTTAAAACACAAAACCAGAGAAAAATTTTGAACAGTGAACGTGGAAGTGAACGACGAGGTAGTACGAAGGAGAAAGGGGTTTCAAAGTGATCGAAACGCACCTACTTCACTTTCTCTTTAAGGGTTCATTTTGCTTTAGAGGGCTTTTTTGCTGTATTTTTTTGTATTCAACAGATAGTGTCCAAAACATACGATATGACATTCAAGGAACGTGAAAAGCAATTGCCTGCACTCAATAATTAACAAAAAAATTGTTGTCCGGTATGTTATATTGGTGTGTTCAGTGGTGTTCAACGTTCTTCAGTGCGGCTTGGTGGTAGAAAAGTAGGCCTCCGCCAATTTGTCACAGAATTTTTCTATAGAAACACTTGTCAAGTGTTACTAGCACAGCTTTCTTTCTAAATGCCGTGCTCAAGGACACTTGTTTTACAATCTACAATTTGCTGTTTATCCACAAATACAACTTGCAAATATTATGTGTAATCAGCAACCGTAACATGCTGCAACTCCCACATATAATCAACCATTTTCACATTGAACCTTGACACACTTTAAACAGTAATGTTCCCTACGACCACATCTAGTACTAATCTGCTTAGTATATTTTCCCGTGTATTTGCAATCATAATTCACTCGTTGATATTGCCTTGTAATAGCGTATAGATCGCATTCATATTCACACCGCTGTAGTATTACTTTACTTCGAAGTAAAAAAAGAGAAGTCAAGAGTGTGGAAAGACTTTCCCTCCCTTAATTAATGATATTAGATTTCCACCATGAAGTCATTTAAAGGGGTTTGCCTCATGTGTTCACTACAGATCCATCACTCGTTCGTGTCAATAACTGTGGATATCGCAATGGTTTTATTCCTTTGTTTCTACTTCAATATCACTATATCGTTTAAGTTCTATTCTGCTCAACGCTGCCGTTCCCTTAACTTCAGGTGGATGACCTGCTTGGGATTCGCGCTTTTCCTACATGTGCCGATATGGTGTGCCATTCTCTGTAGTAAAGCAGTGTAGTAAGTCAAGGGATGTATACCAGTATGGGTGTATGCATGTAACCGATTCATTTTATATGACAACGGAGTCATATAATATTAATTAGTTACGATAAGTGCAGCCACTTTTTGAGCATAATTTGAATAACACAAGACTTCTTGTTTGAGATATGATGGTGAAAGAGGAGTCGACCTATAACTGGCAAAGGATACTCGTCAATGCACACGTTTTTTCCGGACCTGTACATCCTGTTGCAATCCCTGATGGAAAGTTCGATTAGTGGCCTCATCTAATATGAGCTGTCTTGCCGGTCATACATTACTGCATTTTGCGCAAAATATCGACTTTAAAATAGGTTTCCAAATGTTTCTACCATAACATGAGAAGCAATAAGATAGCATACAAGAGCACTACTGGTGCTCTTATAATCCACAAACTTTGGCAGTAATCTCCATTTTAGTAAAAAAAAAAGTAATGGACAAAGCTCTCGGAGATGATCGATCTCTGAGGGATGCGTCATGCATTCGACTTCATTAAGCATCGTTGGAGGAGATTGAAAACATCTCTGGCCTTTATAATGACTCGCGGTGGCCTAGCAATGTATCGAGGCAGTGCTGCTATCCTTCCAGACAGATCTGGTACCAATTTGCGATTCCGGAAAGATGAAAGGCTTGGTGAGCTGCTGACGATCCCATGTGTGTATTGCAGGGCGCTCCCGACCACTGCACCACACGCGCCATTCCATTTTAGTAATTTGAGCTTACATGTGATTGGTAAGAAAAATGTTTATTCGGGTACTGTTTCTGCACCTTCGCATTCTTCAGAGCCGCATTGATCTCAGTCGAATCCAGTAAAAGCATCGCCAGTATAGGGAACTTCACTCAACGGTGCTCTTTTATACAGGATGGATATTGGTCGATTCCCGCCATCCAATATCATCTCCAATTTGGCGAACAAAGCACCTGTACCAGTCCGCAGTTGATTTTCTGACCCGTAGTGTGTTAATGTTAATACCTTAAAAACGGACTTTCATTAGACCTCGATACCTATCCCGTGTCAGTTCAACCATTTAGAAGATTACCAATTACTGCTACTGATGTGCACATATCAGATGGCTTCTGTAAACAGAGAACCATTCAGTCTGATCTGTTCGCCTTTGCACCATGGTTTTTTCATGAACTGGATCTTACTCCGATTTATGCGTAGTCCGATATTTTTCCCCTTTCGTTCAGCACGTTGATCAACGCCTCTGCTTCACAGGTATTTCCTGAGAAAATGACGAAGTCGTCTGCGAAACGAAGGTTTGACAGGAATTTTCCGTAAATACGTACGCTTTTCTCATCCCAATCGATTAACTTCACTATCCGCTGCAGCGCGGCAGCAAACAACGTTGGCGATACTGTGTCGGCTTGTCGATCTCCTTTTTCCATGGGTATGGTACGAGGTCTACTTTCTCATAGTCGACAAAAGTTAGGACTACAGGCAAGTGGTATTCCCGACAAACTGCAATAATCCTGGACACAGTATGGGTGTATTCCATGCAGAAAAATCGTTGTCGAAACCCTGCTTGCTACACTGCTCACGTCTCATTCAATGCCTTTGATATGCGAGACAGGATAACCTTCGTGAAGAGTTTGTAGAGTACTTTCAACAAACACATTGGACGATAGCTGCGAAGACCCTTTCGGTCACTTTTCTAGAGGAGGATGACCGTACACGACGCCCTCCACTGGTTTGACATTTTTTCCTTTTGAAGCTAGGCTCTGATATGGTTTGCCAGAAGTACATGCAAACTGTGGCTTCTAGCCCTGAAGAAGTGGGCGATATCATCCAGTCGTGGCGCAGTGCCTCTTGTAATACCTTCTATCGCAGCTCGGACCTCCGACGGAAGAATTCCAAGTGGTTTTTATCGACGAGGATTTTAAGGTCTGCTGAAACGGCTGTGGAACGGTAAAGACTGGTGTAGAACGTTCCCCTTATTAACTCCATAGCGGAAAGTTTTGACGATCCCATCTGCGTTCATCAGGGTTGACAGCGAAACATTACAATCACACAAGTCCCGACGAATTCTTTTCAGATTGTTTCTTTTCTGCTCCTTCCAATATTTGCTTCTGCCTGTACCGATGTAGATCTTCCTGCAAAGCTCTTCAGCAGCTGACATTTATTATTAGCCATGTTAAACGTGTTGCAGTAGGACCAAGCATCAGTTTCCTGATCTTCTCGAGCACCTCCTTAGTGGTAATGGAAATGCGATCCGATCTTCTTGCTTGAAAAACTCAGGTGAAATCGGCACTTTTCAGCACTTCGGAAAGCAGTTCTTAGTCTTCGGTCGGGCCTTCTTTAACATTCCAGTCTCGTTTGAATAGGACTTTGTTCATATTTTCCTCATATACAACTAGACTTTTTCTTCGTGGTTGTTGACATGAATTCATTTCCTGCTTACGGCTAAATGAATCTTCTAGCGAAGAAGGCGCTGATCGGAACCAGTACAGAATGCTTGCACCAATACAGAATACAAACCACCTTGTCACGGTTATAAAGTGTCTCTGTCTCAAACCACAGTGTGCAACTGGAAGTGTTAGCAGTGAACACTGATAGGGAGATTCAAAGCAGACGAAAGACATTGCCAAAAAAAGTTTTGCAGAACATTACGTGTACGGAACAGTTCTACAAAGAACACGCCTGGCAAAACATTTATGTAGGATAAGTTACACTAATTTAAAGTCGTAAAAAAACTTTTGTGTCAAAGAGCGGTACAAATGCAAACGCGTTAAGCAAATAATCTTGTAAACAAACCAAGCAAGAAGTGCAATCGTTCCGCAGAATTTGCTGTTTCAGTAACTGTTTTAATGGCACACACGCCAAATGTATCACCACAACGAGAATGAACATTGTTACCATAACCACGGTAGACCTAAAATTTGTATACAGAAATAGTACTCAGTCTTCAGGATGATATTTCCACCTTATCGTGGAAGGATTAAACGAGAAATAGACAAGACCAACCTGCCCTCTCTCATCGATCACTGAACGATTTAGACAGACGATAGTAAAATACGTACACGTTTCTAGCCCAGGACAGAATAGCTCATTAAGTTCTGCTTATTCTATACTTATAAAACGCATAATGCTTTCCATTTAGGATATTAGTGATCTAACCACTGAGTACACGGTGTTTTGGGGTGTGTTTGACAGACCCTAGAAAACCATTACCGAGAGTTCGTGTCCAGTGACTATCCTGTCAAAGGCATATTACATGTTAGATCAATCCTATTTTAAACATTATGGGAATCGATTTCTTACCAACCACATCTCGCAACTATGGATTTCCTTTATCGCTCAATAGGGTACACCATAGTCACTATTCTCGCGACAACACTGTTCTTCATCATGCCGAATTGCTTTCCAGGTTTCTCGGAGCAAATAATCACCGTTCACAAAACGGCCTCATGAGAGCCATACGAGGAACGGAAGCTGTTTGTGTCTTCATAAAGAAATAAGATGTCGGGTTAAGTAAGAGAAAACGATCTGAGGTTCGTTTCACCTCTTTCATTGAAAGGTGACTCACAAAACTGAGTGACGCCTTCCCTCTGGAAGAGAGGAAGTTACACATGGAGTACAAGCGACCTGATATTTCTCGTGAGATTTAGGACATTCCAGTATAAAACGCCTCTAAGTGGTGTGCCGGAAAGAAATCACTAGCACGGCAAAACAAATGCTGAATGCTTTGGACAGCGAATGTGAATAGTTTCCGCTTAAAACGGTCGGTTAGTTTAAAAAATGAGAAGGGCGAAACAACTCGTTTAGTTAGTTTACAAGGGAATAGAATAAAGACTGTA